GTGTACTGCGATCCTGATTTGTGTACGCACACGGGCCTAATCATTGAAATCGTAGCTTTAGGAGTGACGCCTCGTATGATGAGACGTGACTACGACCGTCAGCATCTGATCGGCGGAGATCTCCTAGTGTCCTCCGCGCCGAGGAGAAATCAAATCGCAGTGTGTTCAAATGGTTAAATAAAGTGCATTGCATTTCATGACGTGTGAATGTGTTTGTGATCATCACGCACTCCGGAGTATAGTTCTGCTACACGTATCTGCTTACATAAGACACCTGAGGGACGTTTCCCTGTTGGCATGCAATACAAGTTGTGTTTATATGGGGCCTGAATTAAAACCGCGTCACATGACTCTGTTTGAAATGGTGGGACATGGGCACGGGGGAAAGGATGCAATGTTATATTTTTTTAATACACAGAAAGAGGCAGTCACAGGCAGATGATGGCAGATGAGACGCGGAAGGTCCTGAGTCTGGACTTGATCAAGGGCAGGGAGTCGACAGCAGTGCTGGATTAAGCTAGTGTGGGGCCTGTAACATATGTTATTAAGGGGTCCTAAATAAAAAAATATGAAATCGCAAATGTTTTACTTGCATAGTAAAGTAATTGTATTTTTTCATTTTCTATACAGCCAGGTAATATACAAATCGCGAACGTTAAACACCCAGTCATTCATAAAAGCTGAAGGCAGTTTGGTACTATAGCAATAGAGCAAGTGCAGAATCACTGAACCGGAATTGATCGCTTGAAAGCATTTAGCGCGGGGCCCTTGAACGTGCGGGACCCGGAGCATATGTAGCTTCTTTTTCTACTAAGGATAATCCGGCACTGGTCGACAGCACGGATGGCTCGGGGAAGGGATTTCCAGAACGCAAGGGCAGCGGAGGTGAGAAGATCGACCGGGGAGCTTCAATAGAACGCCTTGGTGAAGTACGGGGTGCGTGGAGGAGAGTAGAGTGAGGAGATAAGTAGGAGAGTGTGTGGAGGAGATTAGAGTGAGATGAGAGACAGGGGAGAGTGCACAGAGAATATTGAAGACAGCAGTTCGTGCGATATAGAAATTGACCTTAGGATCCAGTGGAAAGGTTGGGATCATTGGAGTTTTGGTGCGATGTGGTCTCGTTTACGAGCGTGGGTGAGTCGTCTGTCGAGGAAGTTGTTGATCATGGGGAGGCCGTGGAGGAGAGAGTTGCACGGGTCGAGTCGGGATGTGTGGTGGATGAGGGTCTCTGTCTCAGCTGGGTGGTGTAGTGAGAAAATAACAGACGTGGGAGGTGTTGCACAGATGGAAATATGAGGTTCTGTGGAGCCGAAGAATGTGCTGATTTAAGTAAATAAACTCGTTGAATCGTAATCTATTCTTTGGTTCTTTCGGTTCAGTCACGTAGGTAGAAAAAAAAAACAAAATAAAATAAATCACGACGTTTTGATCGCAACACAAGCGGTCGTCCTCAGGCTGAAAAAATTATCCAGCAGTGGAACTGCTGAACCAGCGAGAGAGCTGTTACAACAAGAGGTTATATATGTGGCGATGGGCAAGCAAGCGGGGTCTGAGCTGGAAAGGAATTCCATCCACGGACGCAAGCACGTCAGCTGTGTTAATGGGGGAGATTAGGGAGAGAGAGATTAGGGAGAAAGATGAGCATGAATGAGCTTGCGTCGTCTGAGGACGACCGCTTGTGTTGCGATCGAAACGTCGTGATATATTATTTTTTATTTTGTTTTATTTTTCTACCTACGTGACTTTACCGAAAGAACCAAAGAGTAAGGATTCCTGCAGTCACGAAAGCTTCAAATCAAGATCGTAATATATTGCTGAGTCAGTCGCCGCGTGAGTAAAAAAAAACAACGCGTGTCGTACACCCTCCGCCACCAGACACGGCCAAATAAGTGAAGTTTCCACGTGAAGAGACGTGCCAAATAATGATTACTCCGGTACAACGGTGTGTTGGAGAGCAATTCGCACACGTTTCACAAATTGGCACAATTGTTGATAGATTTTTGTTTTATTTGGCTGCGCCGGGTGGAGGAGGGTGTACGTCACATATTGGTAATTTACTCACGCAGCGATATGACCAACAATCAATTGGGAATCATATCTGCCGCGAGAGCCTACATGTGGAATCTAAGCAAAGTGAAACTGATATTCTTAGGTTTTTTCGGTAAAGTCACGTAGGCAAAAAATAATAACAATAGCTAACCTAAGAGTATGAATCCTTGCAGTCACGAAAGCTTCAAATGTAGAATTAATGCCCTATACGGGGAGGAATTTCACCTATCTGTTAAAGTTTTTAACAGACAACGAGACAAGAAGTCACAGCTATTGTTATTATTATAATTTTTTACCTATGTGACTTTACCGAAAAAACCTAAGAGTATGAAGCCTTGAAGTCACGAAAGCTTCAAATCTAGAATTAAAGTGAAACTCACATTTAAGAGGCCTTATCTAACCGGAGAGAGCACAACAAATTATCAGCTGGTTCAATTTGTAAACTTCCGTCAGCTTGTTTGCAAAGACTAAATTAGCCAGATGACTGCAAAAAAAAGTTGTTTTTGTTGAACTTCCGTGAATTGTGATGAAGAGGAAAGATTAACTAGCAAGACGGGGTTTGTGTCACGTGTTGTTATGAAATGCAAGGGGTTTTTGACCATTACCACCCCAACCCACCATTATTGTGCTCGGCTCGTACAGGCATCTCGTGTTCACCTCTGCCCTGAAAAAGGACCATTGCCCGAAACATCGCCTATTAGCCGGGCGGTGATGGCAATGCTTGCCCGTTATCCAGCACCGTCAGAGGTTCGCACAAAATGTTGTTAGAACTCCCTTATAGTGGGCACCGAGGAAGTGCCATGAACCCCGGCTCGCCAGTCAAGATGTGGAAACCCCACTTGTGTCGTCTGTATGGGATAGAGCTGGGGTCGGCAAACTGCCGCATGCGGCTCATCATGGAATGTTTCGTGACCGTATTTATTAAGGCACCGTCTCGTATCCACAATGCATTGCGGCTCTTACAATATTGAGGTTTTTTTTTTGTTTTGTTTGACCGAATTTCAAACCAATGGCACTTCTTGTTATTTCGCTTGCCGACCCCCGGTCTAGAGCGTTTCCCCCATGCACTCGTGGGTTTTCTCCAGCTTCTTTCCCACCACATGTAAACACCCATTAGTTTGTCAAGTAACATCCTAATATATAGAGAACCGCAGACCTTGGGCACTTGCTGGCACGGGCTGACGGCGTGGTTGTTGCCCTCTTTACCCTCGTCTGTGGTTCCTCCTCCTGCCGCCTCTGAGTCGTCCTCTCTTTACGAGAGTGAGGAGCGAATGCCGTGCGGTGACAAGTTGATCATAATACTGGTCGGAACCTCCTGGTTCCACCAGCCTACAGGGAATTTATTGTGTCCGTCCGTCCGTCGTGCATCCAGAAATGGGAGGGGTGGAGCTGGGTGGAGAGGGTGGGGCTGGGTGGGGAGGGGATGGTGGGGAGGGGCTGGTCACCTCGTGGTGTCCTTATAAAACTCAACGTTTAACCTACTCACGCCGGCTTGTGCCCGCCCTCAAAGTCGGGCATATTTGCGGAATACACCACGCCGCCGTTGACCCTGGCCATTGACCGAGCAACCCAACGTTCCTACCAGCTCCCTTCGCAGGAATGTGTTAATCATTACTGAATACTTTTTGGACAGTGTCATTAACACACGTGTTGAGTTTGTGTTTGCATCCTGTCTCCGTGAGAATTTATCGCTTTAAAAGTTGCGAAGCACGGTGAGGAATTCCCACCCGCTGGCTCTGCAGGCCCTGTCGACAGGAGATGTGCAGCAATGCATCATGCTCGTTGGAGCGCGGAAATTACTTAGACTTTTATTTTTTATTTACTAAATACTACGCAGACTTAAACAAGTGTGGCTCGCTAACTTGCTGGCTAAAGAGTGTTTACTTAAAACAATATGTGTATTGCTCTGGTGTATTTTGTTTCAGAGGTTCGCAGTTCCAATCCCAGCGGCCGCCCTGGATAATATTTCGGGTTACATTCAGGCCGTCGTGTATCGGCGTCACGGTCCAAATTTTATCCAAATCCCCCCCCCCCCCAATATTATCCGGAATTTCCCCAAATTGAGATGACAAATGCATAGCAGCGAACATCATCCCCCCCCCCCCACTTACTGGCCGATTAATGCCTCCTTGCTGAACCAGGTTCTGGGTCGCACAGAGACAGCTGACACTGGGGGCGACCTAAGAATCGTTTGAGATGAGAATTAAGGGCACCTCTTGAGTTTTTTTGAGGCATTGAATCGCCATGTACTGCAGAGTACTGTAACATGTGATATGTAACTTTGATCATTACCTGTGTAGTGTCGATAGTTCAATGTGAATGTGCCATTCTATTGAGGGACTGTTGCTGTGTGGCGTTATCTTGGTCTGGTCTGGGTTTGTTCTGTCGTTGTTTTTGCTGCATTGCCCAGTCTTGATTAATCGGACTTTTTAAATTAATGCATTTAGTATGTATTTACGTCTTAACATTTAGTGAGTTGCTGACCATTTTCTCTATTTTGTACTCCTATCGTGTTGTTGTTTTGTTGTTGTTTGCTGTTTTTAATTGCCGAACCTGCCCATACTGGACATCTATTAAACAAGATTCTCATTCTACATTTTTGCTGAAGCATCACAACCAATGTTACATTATATAATTGTCAATGCTACATTACCAATGTAACATTACAAATGCAACATTACAAATGCTACATTACCAATCCTATCAATGCTCCATTATCAATGCTACAGTACCAATGTTCAATTACCAATGATACATTACCAATTATACATTATCAATACTACAATGCTACATTACCAATGCGACATTATCAATGCTCAATTGCCAATGATACATTACCAATGTTACATTATTATCAATGCTACATTACCAACGTTACATAATTATATTGAGTGTTGTATTATCAACGTTATATTATTAAACCACGCACTGTTTATACGAACTGCGAATTACAACCGTGACGTCACCAACCTCCCGTGATTCCGCGCGCGCTCCTCCTCAGTGCCGACTCAACATGGCGAGCCAGGGGTCAGGTTCGTGTCCCACCGGCTACAACTTTACACTTTGGTGGTGGTGGTTCTTGTTTATTTAAACGTTCGCCTTCCTCCAGGGTTTGCAGTCGTTCGCTACAACGGAGGCGAGACCGGCGCTTCGCCTGCGGTCATTTAATCGCGGGCGGGCCGCGGGGTTTGGCCCTCGGTGATTTCGTGACCCGACATCCTGAGGCCTACACAGTGTCCTTGACTGCAGTGTGGGTTATTAGGCGCGATAAAGTCATTTGTTTGTGTAATTAACGTTTGTTTAAATGAGTTTCATCTTTATTTTTACCCCTTCCCGTGATCAAATCACCGGGATATTCTCCCCGACTCTTCAGTTCAATGCAGCTATGCGGGGCTTGACCCTGACTAGTTCTTCGATGGGTGGAATTTGCCATATACAGTACTGCATACCAGGTGCTATAGGCTGCGAGGGTTGCGCCGTGTTCTAGGCAGTGAGGCGGAAGAAGTTGTACTGCGTTGTGCTCGGGCGTCTATGCTCCCCGCCCTCTGCGACCGGTGTGGTGAAGTATGGCAAAATAAACCGCATGGCGCGGGGAGGGCATCATCCAGCAGTGGATTGGCAAAACAATATTTGTACGTCTTCTTGGTTCTTTGGAAAGACAGCCCTGTTCTTCACCTGATGACGGCTGCTTGCGTTGTGGCCGAAACGTCGTGAGAATTGTATTTTATTATGTTTAATTTTTTTTTATTTTATTAGTTCCCTTCTACGTGACTTTACCGAAAGAACCAAGAAGATGAATCCCTGCAGTCACGAAAGCTTTAAATCGAAATATTTGTACGTGTGCGGTCTTTATTTTTTAACAAGCATGTACGGACAGCACATCATACATCGGTGTCGTGTCCGTAGATTTTCAATCGGCAGTAACGTAATCTCTGAATTGGCTGACAATGCATGCAGCTATATCGTGCATTGATGCAGATTATGTATGTTTAATTAAAATATGATATGAAAATGAATATATTTAGACTATGGAAAGGAGACACATCAACCTCGATACCCATTTTCAGGAGGTCGCTGTGTCCGGTTGCATTAGACGTTTGAGGTTAAAATTACCCCAAGGTTACGCCGATGTTAATGTCGACTACTCTACATCTAAATACCGATAAGTAAATCCCTAGCTTAACTAAACCATAACACAAAAAAAACCCAGAACGCCTACATGTAAACTTCAACCCACACCCTTAACCAGAATTCTAAATCCTAAACTTATCCCGAACTTCTGTGTCATAATGAAAACCCGTTAAAGACTAACCCTAAACCCACATCACATCCTGAAACATGATTCCTAACTCGAAACCCCAATGCTAGCCTTAACCCTAATTCCTTAAGTATACATGGAAACTAAAGGAAGTGGTGTTCCTTAATGTCATCAAAATCTCAAGAAAAGCTCTGCAATTGGACGAAAAACAACAATGATTGGATGAGAATATGAGACCATAGCGACACACGTTTCGATTCTTTCCCTACATCTACGTTGACACATGTCACTTTCTTTGGTTAGTTAATGTTTTAATATTTGTATTTGTGAGAGGAAATTAGAGAGGCTGGAGAAAATGCACCTATCCGCAAACTCAGTGAGCCACCGCCATTCCACATGACCTCTTGGTGAATGGATGTGATTGTTGATGGTGTGTGTATTTATATGCAAAGTGCACCTAGCCTGGCACAAGTGCCGTGGTGGCGTCCTCCACTTAGTGGAGGATGGCGGTTGTTATATACACGTGTTCATGTCTTGCAGTGACCGTCACTCGGAGGTTTTTCAATGTGTTCCGCAATTGGTACTACAATTCGGCTGGCTTCAACAAGTATGGTAAGAACTCGCATCCTAATCTCCATACACATTACATACATACTTTGTAATATCACTCGATTCATTTGGTCAAAGTGATGCAACAAAACGTTAATACATACTGTCATGGCAAGATAATACTCAGAATTTAAATACAAAATACTCATTTAAAAGTAAAGATTTGATTAATCACACCAAATATTTGACCTTGAATTCTAACAATGATCATGCTTTTCACGAATTTGTGTCGTTAATGTGAAACATAGTGGTATGAATATATAAAATGTATCAGTATAAACATTTTCAACATACTGTATTTGAATCAGAATCCATAACTTTTTGCAGAATTTAATTATTGCGAGTGCAATTAATTTTAATCAATTATTTGATGGATAATTACATTCTATAAAAAAATCCATGCTTTAAGACTAAACCTAAAATCAATCGGTTTTGGTTACCATTGAATAATGATCGTTTCTTAGCTCACTCGACTGACATAGGCAGAGGAAAAAGGGGGGGGAAGCTCCAGAACCTGGACTTAAACAGGGGCAGGGACTCCACAGCACAGATGGCAGGGGGAAGGGAGTTTTAGACTACGGGTGCAGCAGGGAATACTTTTCATGTTAAACTGTGAATGTTAGTTTTCATTCCCTATCATTTTTTAATCTCTTCAATTATTAGTTTGTTAAATAGTCTGAGAAATTACACCCATCACGCTGACCGTGTGGACATTTGTCATCGTTGAGTCTCTCAAATAGTTTGTTGTTTTCACTGCTTTCCTCTCTTCCCAACCTCTATCATTAACGTTCCACCTCTTCCCCACGGCTTCTTTCCAGGGCTCATGTACGAGGACACGCTGTATGAAGATGACGTCGTCAAGGAGGCAATCCGGCGGCTGCCCGAGAACCTGTACAACGAGCGTGTGTTCCGCATGAAGCGTGCCCTCGACCTCTCGGTCAAGCACCAGATCCTTCCCAAGGACCAGTGGACAAAGATTGAAAATGTACGGGCAAGCAGCTGCCTTGCTGAGTGGGTGGCAGGAGACTGGTGGGGGGATGGAGAGGGTGGAGCTGAAAAATTGTTTTGTCACTCATGGAGGTTGTTTGACCCTACTTCACCATTCTCGTCGGTGTGGGTTGGTGAAGGGGGTTGCCCAAGACAAGGTTCAGACATCACTTGCAACTGATGTTATTTGTGGCCGGGATTCAAACTCGGGTTACTGGGTTCATGGCGCAGTGCGCTAACCACAGCCATCGCTCTGGAAATTGGCCATGTGGCTCAGAGGTGTAGAGCCAGTGGCTCGCAATAAGGTTTCCAAGTTCAAATTCTGGTGGGGGTTGACTCAGCTCATCATCTGTGTTGAGGTCGATACAATTAGTACCTCTTTGTGGGGAAGTGGACAGATTTGGAACTGCCATGGGAAGGTCGAATTTCCACCACAGGCTCAAGGCTGAAAATAGATTCGTTTGAGCAGAAAATCACTGACTTTTTTTTTGACCGCTCTGGAGCTAAAGAGGAAGAAGAAAAAATGCCTTTGAACGATGAGTTGGCATATCTTGAGATCAGTGCATCTGATTATAGTGATAGAAAGGATACAATTCATTGGAAAATATTTTGATGCTCAAGATGAATGCATAAATATCCCGTGTATAACTCGTGTATTATTTTCGAGTGATATGTTACATTTAGGCAAATGCAATGAATGAGAACATTTGAGACAAACTTCTGTCCAGCTGCATAAAACTAAAGTACAATAGAATGCAGTTTTGATTTATAAATAATCTCATTATGACTGCATCTTAAGTCGCAGTTGATATTCCTGTTGAGCATTTACTTGATGATGTAAAGTGGTGACATTGGCAGGCTGATGAGCCTTGTGAAGAAATACATCTAAACTATAAACGCAGTTAAAATACCACTGCTCAACCGAGTTCAAGGCTAAGTGTAGTTATTCACTGCCAGAATCTCGTCACAATTTGAGACACATTGATTAAATAATGTTATTATGTTGCTCTTCATGGTACGTGTAGAATATGCATAATCTCTCGTTTGAGTATATTCTGCAAAGTAACTTACACAGTTCGATTTAAACATCTTGTTCATGTATGGCCCATTTTGTCAGTCCACTGCTTGATAAGAGCCTTCCCACGTGGCTTGTTGGATTGTTTGCAATATTTCACCATGCTGGTTGGTGAAAGCAGAGAGCATAGACGTTGATAATTGTACGGTACAATATTTTTCTGCTTTGCCCTCTGCTGAATTGTAGGACCTAAGAGAAATACTTATGCTCATTCTGCTGCCCCACCCTCTATTCCCCTTGCAGGAAAAGGCTTACCTCTCCCCATACATCCAGGAGATTGAACGGGAGCTCAAGGAGAAGCATCTGTGGGAAAAAAAATGAGGGAGGCGGATGCAGCATGTGGGCAGCCAACTTCGCTGGCTATCTGCCTTAGAGTTTCTGTTTTTCCCTTCATCGATCATCTGCCCCTTCATCGCTCGCTATTCTCTTCTCCCCCCTTGTCACAGCTGTACATGCATTTTCCTGAGGTTGTACCTGACCTCCCTGTAATGACTTGTCGGTAAAATAAAGTATGATTCTACAATTAAAATATTGGTGTGAATCGTGGTTTAACTGACCTGAACGATACTGTGAGTACATTTATTTCTAGCAAAATGTGCACGGTTGGCTATGTGCGGTGCGAAAGAAGTTATACACACAACAGTAGCTTAAAAAAATTATCTTGGATAGCGTATGGTGGAGGTGGCATATGCTTTTTAATTGAGTGATGTGGACATGTGCAGCAATTAGACTAATGACTGGCAGTGGTGGTCACCCATTGCGGGTCCTGAAGCAGACATTGAGTACCCCTATTTCAACTTAATCTAAGATGACAACGAGATGTAGACAAGACAAATGTAACGAGAAGAGATTCAGGTTTAAAAATGTGTAATTGTTTATGATAATTGACTGCTTATTATGGTGTTGATTTGAGCTTTTGCATCCTGTTTTGAGTCATCCATATCACGAAACAAACTTTACTGGATGGATACACCAGTCATCAGTTCGAGCGCATATCGGCTTTTCTACATACTCGGATTGTCTGCCACTTCAAATAAACACAAAGGTAATTGGTAAAATATTTAAAGCAGGATTGGTGGATCGCAAATAATCGCAAATCGTCCAAATCTGCTGGGAGGCGATGTGTCCTGGAGATAACGGTACGGTCTATACATTGACTTAAACACTCCACGTTTTGTGTTAATTATGATTGTGCACTGCTGTCAACAGCAAAATAAAATCATTTTGTATTTAAAAAAAACTTTAGATGCCAAATAACACTTAGAGAGTAAGTCCTCAACTGAAAGGGTCTTTTTTAAGTTCACGTAGTCTAAAGCATCTGCAGTATTGTCCAGCACCACGATAGGGCGTGTGAAAGGGCCTTCGTTGATAAAGGCTTGTAAATGTTTTGTAAATAAAAACTGGCAAGAAAGTATTTTTCTTTTTTAAGTATAAATCGCTTGCGTTGCGAAGATAACAAAGCTTTGAGATGAACGAAAATAATATTAAAAAAAACTGCCGTAGTCGGCAGGATTCGAACCTGCGCGGGGAGACCCCAATGGATTTCTAGTCCATCGCCTTAACCGCTCGGCCACGACTACTTACGAGCTATTGTTAGAACCACGTGCATTACATAGTTAACAACGGCTATCGAATCACCACGTGTGTGTGTGGATGCCGTGAGATATTCCGTTTTAAACATTTGGCAGGCAGCGTGAAATCTTCCGTTAAACAAGGAACGCAAACCACGACTCGTACTAATAATTATCTTCACTATCTGAATTTGTTTATATATAAAGGGAAGTCCTTGAATGAATTAGCTAATTCGTTTGCAGGGCTTAAGTTCATTCCTGAGAAAATACATTCTGGTTATAAAAAGTCTCTTGAACCACACTAAAAATACAAAATGCCCATACTAAATATAGACAGTTCATACACGCGACTCGTACAGCAAAGACCTTATAGTATGCATTGCGGAACCCTATTTCCAGCTGGCCGGTTAGCTCAGTTGGTTAGAGCGTGGTGCTAATAACGCCAAGGTCGCGGGTTCGATCCCCGTACGGGCCACAATACTTTTACATTTTTTTCCACCCCTTATACATTACTATAATCAACAGCATTTCTTTATAGTAACACTTTTTGATCATTGACACCACCGTTACAATGTCATGCGATATAATTCTCACATTAAAGATGTTCAATTCTTTATTGTGAGAATTAGCAACGCTGTGGCGCCACCTTGTGCCCAGTCTCTGTAATTGCCCCGGGCGGGTTGGACTCGCCATCACTAATTAACAGACAATCAATTATTAAGCTCCTGGTTTCCGCCAAAAGAGGTACTCATTCCCACAGCGGTGTCTCTATCACGTATACAAGCGACAATGTACATGTAGGTGTGTGTGAATATTAGTGTAAGTTTACGAGTATGCACATATGTGTGTGTATAGGGCGCTCTGTACTGCACGTGCTTAGTCCATTCGTATCATAGTCGTACAGCTGGTATGTTATGTGTACACGTGTGTGTACACGTGTGTGTATACGTGTGTGTGTGTATACGGCCTTCATCGGTGATAGCACTTGCCCCAACAGTCTGTGCAGGCTATACGGGTGATCTTGGTCTTTGTTTGTGTGTGTGTACACGCGTGTATGTGTGTCCACGTGTGTGTGTCCACGTGTGTGTGTGTACACGTGTGTGTGTTACACGTGTGTGTGTGTACACGTGTGTGTGTGTTACACGTGTGTGTGTACACGTGTGTGTGTGTGTGGTACACGTATGTGTGTGTTACACGTGTGTGTGTACACGTGTGTGTGTGTTACACGTGTGTGTGTGGTACACGTGTGTGTGTGTGTACACGTGTGTGTGTGTACACGTGTGTGTGTACACGTGTGTGTATGTGTGGCTTGAAGAAATTGGGCTCCCGTATGTAACGAGAAGTCGTTCGTAAAAATGTGTCTCACCGTGTCACTGTCACCAGGCGGAAGTCCGGTCCGGGTGTGTGCGTGGTGTAAGTTACGGTGCTGTAGTCAACACACACACACAGCAGTCATTCACTGTGGGTCTGTGGGGTTGTACCGGTGTGTGTGGTGTGAGTTAGAGGACTGTAGTACACACACACACACGTCAGTCATTCACTGTGGGTCTGTGAGGTTGTACGGTGTGTGTGTGTGGTGTGAGTTACAGTGCTGTAGTCAACACACACACAGACTACAGTCATTCACTGTGGGTTTGTGAGGTTGTACGGTGTGTGTGTGGTGTAAGTTAGAGGACTGTAGTCAACACACACACACACGACAGTCATTCACTGTGGGTCTGTGAGGTTGTACGGTGTGTGTGTGGTGTGAGTTACAGTGCTGTAGTCAGCACACACACAGACTACAGTCATTCACTGTGGGTTTGTGAGGTTGTACGGTGTGTGTGTGGTGTAAGTTACAAGACTGTAGTCAACACACACACAGACTACAGTCATTCACTGTGGGTCTGTGAGGTTGTACCGGTGTGTGTGGTGTGAGTTAGAGGACTGTAGTCAACAGACACACACAGCAGTCATTCACTGTGGGTTTGTGAGGTTGTACGGTGTGTGTGTGGTGTAAGTTAGAGGACCGTAGTCAACACACACGCACAGGCTACAGTCATTCACTGTGGGTCTGTGAGGTTGTACGGTGTGTGTGGTGTGAGTTACAGTGCTGTAGTCAACACACACACAGACTACAGTCATTCACTGTGGGTTTGTGAGGTTGTACGGTGTGTGTGTGGTGTAAGTTACAAGACTGTAGTCAACACACACACAGACTACAGTCATTCACTGTGGGTCTGTGAGGTTGTACCGGTGTGTGTGGTGTGAGTTAGAGGACTGTAGTCAACAGACACACACAGCAGTCATTCACTGTGGGTTTGTGAGGTTGTACGGTGTGTGTGTGGTGTAAGTTAGAGGACCGTAGTCAACACACACGCACAGGCTACAGTCATTCACTGTGGGTCTGTGAGGTTGTACGGTGTGTGTGGTGTGAGTTACAGGACTGTAGTCAACACACGCGCTACAGTCATTCACTCTCGGTCTCTTTAGGTTGCACGGGCGATCTTTGTGTGTGTGTGTGACCTGTGTATGTGTGCGTGTGTGTAGCTATCCACAGCTGTTAGGGGAGACAAAGGCGGCCGGGCGTGGTTCTGGCCACCCCCTTCATCGGTTTGCTACTTGCTTACAGATGTTGGGGTTTGGGGGGAGGTATTTTGTCATTGTCCGTAAACACTCTATTACAACTCACCGATGATACGACGGAATGGTCGGTGTGGATAACACCACGCCCGACCGCCTTTGTCTCCCCCAGCGCTGATGTGTGTGTGGTTTTTGGCACCCCCCCCTTCCCCCCTCCCTCCACCAGGTACGGGCATTCATCATTGCCTCGGGAGGGGTGAGAGATGTCTGCTCGGCGGAGTTTGGAGCCATCCATTGAGTAGGTACGCAAAAATCTGTCGAAACTTGACCCACGCAGAAACGATCAAGGATACTCTTGTATAAGGGGCCGTCCATAAATGACGTCACGCACCTAGGGGGGCTGGGGGGGGGGGTCAGACATTTGTGACGATGTGTGACGAGGGGGGGGGGTGAGAAATGTGACGTCACATCAAAATGCGCAACTTTAAATAAATATAGACAACACGTTCTACTTAATTAAATAGACTTTTTAATAAATGTTTTCTCCTACAACATCAGAGTGCAGCGCCACATTAAATACGCACTACCATGACAATAGTTTAAAGCGATTTAAAGCATGTTTTATATTTGGGGGGGGGGGGGGCAGAGCTTTGTGACGTCATAGTTGAGGGGGGGGGGTCTGACTTTTTGTGACGCCATGCGACGAGGGGGGGGGGGGGAAATCGTCCAAAATCGCGTGACGTCATTTATGGACGGCCCCTAACCGCACAACTGTCATGCAGGGGGCGCTGCAAACCTACTCGCCCCCTGCATGAACGACGGAGGCGCAGGGACTGACGTTCGATTACGTTGGAATCGATCTGCAAACAGGTGAAAGTCCGCATCGAACCGAACCCCCATCAAGGCCATCTACTTAACGACGAGAGAAAATTCACACGAAATGTAGTTTTCAATTAAGTCTTCCAGATGTGAAATGAAATATGCTTTTAATTAAGAAATACAATTATCTAATTCAAAACAAAATACAATTCAAAACATCAAAACGGAGCATCCGGTGCTTGTGTGAATGCGTCGTTCGTGTGCAACTTTTTTGTGACTTTCCTGGCCGAAGGCCGTAAATGATTGTGAGGGTCGTCGCAGGCGCCCCCGAACAACCCCTAGTTAATAATATTGACGCGTTTAAGTAAACAGATAGTCCACCGCCCCTGGACTATCTAACTCATTTGAAGGCCAATGTAGACAAATTATATTATTATTGAGGCGTCACCCCCCCCCCCGTTTCCTATACGCATTTGGGTTAACCCCCCCCCCCCTCCATGCGTACGTACTAAATGGATGGCCCCTTTCCCCACCGTACGAGGGCTCGATCCGACCACGGATTTATCAGAGCCTTGACTCGCCACGTACCGGTGTCAAACTGGTGCGCAGTGGCCGGATTAAACTCGTGCGGGGCCTGTAGCATATGTTTTAAAGGGGCCCTAAATATATTTTAAAAAACACAAATATAAAAAAAAATATGGAACTTGTATAGTAAAGTTATTGTATTTTTTTCCATTTGCTATACAGCCAGATAATACGACAAATCGCCAAACTTAAACACCCAGTCGTTCATAAAAGTTGAAGGCGGTATAGTACTATAGTAATAGGGCAAGTGCAGAATCACTTAACCGGAATTGATAGCTTGAAAGCATTTAGCGCGGGGCCCTTAAAAGTCCGGGGCCCGTAGCATATGTAGCTCTACTCTTTGGTTCCTTCAGTAAAGTCACGTAGCTACTTTTGCTACTCATGATAATCTGGCACTGCCGGTGTGGGTCGCAGGTTAGCAGCCCCTGGGCCATGGAGGGGATGAAGGAGGGAGACCGGGCTCCCGGGAGACCCCCCGCGGTCTCGGGCAAGAGAGGCCGGCGGGCACCTGCCCCGGGCAGCGAGGAGCTGTGCTGCTGCGAGTTCGTCAACAGGCAAGGACAGACGACTCACTTGCTGGCGTGCTGCTGTGACTGCGAGGAGCTGGACTCCACCTGCGACAGGTGAACACACGCGCGTGTGTGTGTGTGTGCGTCTGAATACACCTGTGTGTGTGTGAGGTGTGTGTGTGGGAATACACCTGTGTGTGTGTGAGGTGTGTGTCTGAATACACCTGTGTGTGTGTGAGGTGTGTGTCCGTGTGAAGACACCTGTGAGTGAGGTGTGAGTGTGAGTGAATACACCAACATCAGTGACGATTATCTAAACCGGTCCTGGGCCTCCCCTAGGTCGACTCGGCCTCAAATGAGTGAGCCATACAAAATTATCAACTTAAAAATTAGCCTTGTTATATTTGGTCAAACATTTAATTAACTCACCCCTAATGCGATGGCTGGAACTGCTTCTCTTTGGTGAGGCGTGTGATGTTAGCTGGTATTGATGATGTTGCTACTCGCAACTGCTTTTCCAGGTTTGCTCCTAGTTTTATTGAATTTCGAGTCCCGCCTGCGGTTGCCTTGGCAGGGCCACACCAAATGGTTTTGCGGGCATTCTACGGCCCGCGGGCCGGACGTTCCCCAACCCCTGGGCTAGGTGAACCCGAGAAGGGCACGTGACCAGGAGAGGATAAGGACGGGGGCCAGAAGAGGACCGAGGGGACACGTGATGTGAGGTTCCAGAACCTTCGGGGAAGATCCCGAAGGGGGCGTGGCCAAGGGCAGAGCAAGGCCACGCTCGGGGGATAAGGAGCTGGTCCTGTGAGCCGAGCGGGGCTGTTCTCTGGGATCAACCTGTCATGCTACGCTCTTCGCTCTCCGGGCACGACATCGTGAACCAGGCAGCGCGTTAGCTGACCTGGTCCGATTATCTAGTTAGCCCGTTAAGTGGTCAAGTAGTTTCGATTTAAAGCTTTCATGACTGCAGGGATTCATCTTCTTGGTTCTTTCGGTAAAGTCACGTAGAAGGGAAATAATAAAATAATTAGAATAAAATTATACAAAATAAATCGGACGCTGTCTTTCCGACAGCCCTGTTTGCGTTGTGGCTGCTTGCGTTGTGGCCGAAATGTCGTGAGAATTATTTTATAATGTTTTATTTTTATTATTTTATTATTTCCCTTCTACGTGACTTTACCGAAAGAACCAAGAAGATGGTCAAGTTGTTGCCCGTGGTGGTCACCACCCTATGTCGTTATCCCGCCAAGAGTGTATATAGTTACGTAGTTACCCTGTTGTGGTGTGTAATACGCATGTTGCCTCCAAGTTAGAAGTGTCTGCCTCCGTGGAACCCACTACAATAGTATCATATTTTATCGCCGTAACGCGATTATCCTTGCTAATGTTATGTATTTCATGAACTAAACAAACTGTAAAAGTTGTCAATAAATAACTGCGCTCCACTAAATCAGACTGTTGCTCAATGACGGAATGACGGTTAGATGTCACCGTTTGTGACGTGATTTTATTTGAATGTTGTGCAACTTGGTACACGGGCATTATCCAATGTTTGGGCTTGTAAAGTTGCAATGGTCAAACGATTTACGCCAATGCCTTTGCTGGACAAACTCCCGTTCAACGATTTTACCATGCAGCCTTTGGCACTTATCGTTACGATTCATCGTTGATTGTTATTTTTTTTGGATCAGATCGTTGCGTGAGTATACCACGTGCCAGTGTGTTGTGTCGTAACGCCCCTCCACCACCCGACGCAGTCGAATAGACAAAGCTGTCACGTGAATAAATGCGTCAATGTACAATACCTGTCCACCCCTTATCAGTGCCTACCTTATTACAGACCAATTCAGACCTTATTGGTCACCCCGTGCCCCTTACGAATCTCAAATGTTCATCCTACAAAGTCCCATCACAAGAGAGAAACACAAACAAATAGACAGAAATTCTGTTTGAATGCCCGTATTGAAACGGCTGGACGCCGTATGGACCTACAAACTAAATTTTCCTGTACAAGAATACGGGTAAACTGTATAGGTTGACAGGTATGATGTACCATCGCTTCAGCACTATTATTCACACGATCGGACCCAACAGTAATCGATGATGACTTCGGTTAAATATTTTTCGATTTAAAGCTTTCGTGACTGCAGGGATTCATCTTCTTGGTTCTTTCGGTAAAGTCACGTAGAAGGGAAGTAATAAAATAATAAAAATAAAACATAATAAAACAATTCTCACGACGTTTCGGCCACAACGCAAGCAGCCGTCCTCAGGTGAAGAATGAGACAATGCCAAGCTAAGAGCTTATATATAAGCTGCGTTGGAGGTGGAAGAAAGAGCGCCTTAACAAAAGAATGTGCATATGAAGAGGAATTTAGCATATACATACATACATGTAGCATATACATACATACATGTATATGCTAAATGTGCATATGAAGAGGAATTTAGCATATACATACATACATGTATATGCTAAATTCCTCTTCATATGCACATTCTTTTGTTAAGGCGCTCTTTCTTCCACCTCCAACGCAGCTTATATATAAGCTCTTAGCTTATGTATGTATATGCTAAATTCCTCTTCATATGCACATTCTTTTGTTAAGGCGCTCTTTCTTCCACCTCCAACGCAGCTTATATATAAGCTCTTAGCTTGGCATTGTCTCATTATTCACCTGAGGACGGCTGCTTGCGTTGTGGCCGAAACGTCGTGAGAATTGTTTTATTATGTTTTATTTTTATTATTTCGGTTAAATAACTTTAAAACACCAAAGCATATGGAAAAACAGATAAAATAAAAATGCAAAACACATTTACAAAGGGATGGCAAATGGATGTTACAGTTATCGTCATAGTGTGTACATTTACATCATATATCGCAGCACACGCTGGTGTTAGATTGTATATGCGCGTATGCTTGTGTATGTGTGTGTGAACACAGCGATGGGTGTATGCACCCGTGCGTGTGGATACCCCCGTGTATCTAAATGGTAAGCGGGAGTGTAGCGGTTAGTACACTGCGTGATGAATCCTGCGTCCCTCTCGCCTACGCACCACAGCTGCTTCAGGTGTCAGGGCGTCGGCCTCGCCTCGCTGCATTCGCTGTGCGACGACATCACCGACCGGATCCGCGTGCCGCGGTGGTGCCCGGCGGTCGGCCGCAACGCCACCGGCACCGGCACCGCCAGAGCGAACGGCGGCGCTCGCCGCCTGCTGACCCCGGCGGACGCGGCCTCCATCCCGCCGGTGCTGCTGCTCCCGGCCGCCCTGCGGGTCGCGGCGCTCCACCCGGCCGCCACCCTCGCCGCGGCGCTCGCGGCACCAGCGCTGCTGCTCGCCTACTTCCTCGCCACGCACCGCCGCCGTCGCCGCTCCCCCTTCTTCCTGCGTCTGGGCCTCGCCTCGCTGCTCTACCTCTACGCCGTGTTCTCCTGGGAGCTGTGGTGGCGGCGGGGGCGGACGTGGTTCCGAGACGCGACGGAGATGGCGATGACGAGCGGAGGAGGAGGAGGAGGAATCGGCGACGGACAGTGGCTGTGCGTGACGGCCCTCTTCGCGGCCGTGCTGCTGCTGCTGCACTGCTCACGACGCGACCCGGGATACCTGGACCCCAGCGATGCCGAGGTGCGTGCTCACGATAGTTAATTATTTTTATAATTTTCTCTTTCAAATGAGGTTGGTTTCTAACCGAGGCGATGTGTTCGTGCGTACGTATACCCGGCGACCCAGGTTCGATTTATGCTCATGGCCAATGCCAGTGATGATGATCTGAACCGGTCCTGGGTCTCCCCTAGGTCGACTCGGCCTCAAATGAGCACCTAATGCGGTGTATAAACATTGCCACTACGGAGACAAAGGCGGCCGGGTGTGGTGTTGGCCACTCACCCCCTCGTGTGCTGTGCCGGCCTTCATAGGTGCTCGCTAACAGCACTTGCCCCAATAGTCTGTGCTTGTGCGTGTGTGTGTACGTGCGTTTGTGTACATTGCCGTGTGTACGTGCGTGTGTGTGTGAATGTGGTGGAGTCCAGGAGGGGGCGGCTGGCTCTCCCGGTAGCGAGCGTCGTGCCTGTGAGGTGTGCGGCGCGAGGCGCCCTGCGCGGGCCGGGCATTGCCGCGTGTGCGATCGCTGCGTGCGGAGGTTCGACCACCACTGCGTCTGGTGAGAGCCTCTCACCCTCTCAGCCTCTCACCAGCAGGGGGCCGCAAACTCGGACTTGGGTGCGTCAGCTGGTGAGGCCCCCGTTGAGCCAAACGGATCTGTTACCGGGACGGCCACGGCCCAAGAAAGACGGCAACGGTGGAAGTTACCGGACAGTGCAGGGAGGGAATGGGCCAACTCAACAAGAATAATTGATGCAAAACCCACACCAGAGCTTACTGCAAACAGGGTAAACAATAGGGTTAAATAAATAAACAAAACCGCCGTCAAAATATAATTTCACAGACGCGTGTAAATTAAACAGCCTCGCACATAACGGAGCTTGGTTATAGCATTCGTAGCAATAGCGGCAGAGGGAACAAACCCATGCCCATGGGCCAGATAGAGCCCATGACTTAATTTCATACGTCCTCGTGGCCACGTGAGGCCCTACCACTTTTGACGTGGCCCACGAACGAAGCGGGGCTGCAGCCAGAACAGGCGCCAACAGTTTGCCCGAGCTCCCTGGCCCGACATTGGGATGTTTGGCCAACTCCAATTACGTGTGATCATACGCGTGGGAGTGGAAACTGGAGCGCTCGGAAAAAAAAACCCCAAGTGCGTGAAGGAACCAACACTATATTTTCCCCCCGTACAAATTAGTCAGTACTTTTGCTGTACCGCCTTGTGGCCAACCAGGGTAGGGCCCCTCCTCGGCGGCCCACGTAAAGGGGAGTTGCACAACTTTTGTGCGGTGATCCACCAACCTTCGCTTTTGCCTCCAGAGCGCCGGATCAGCGGTAGCCACGTGCAGCAGCGTCGCCACCACCGCCAATGCCACTGCTGCCACCTGCTGGCCGGCTAAATCGCCATTGATCAGACGTTGTGACGACCGTCTTTCCCAAGCGCAGGATCGACAGCTGCGTGGGCGAGGGAAACCACGTGTGCTTCGTGGCGCTGCTGGCGCTGTTCGTGGCCACGGTGTGCGTGGGGCTCGCACTGGCGCTGCCGATCGTCTGCCCCGGCTCCCCGCTCGCGCTGGCGCTCGTCTACTGCCCGCATGCCTACGAGCGCGCCGAGTGAGTGCGCAAACTTCGTCATTATCATCATCGTCGTCGTCGTCATCAGCATCACCATCATCTCCATCATCATCGCCATCATTGTCACCATCACCTTCATCATCGTCACCTTCATTGTGTGTTCCGCAGGGCCGTGCTGGTGTACGCTTGCGCCGTGCACACATGTTAACATACCCGCGTTCATGCGCTGCGCTGTTGTACGTGTGTGCGGGTGTACATATGTTCGTGTACCCCGTGTTCACGCACACGTGCGCGTGTTCCGCAGGGATGCGCTGGTGTACGCGTGCGCCGTGTACGCGGCGCTGGCCGCCGTCTTCGTGTCGCTCCTCCTCTGCGTGCAGCTCTGGCACGTCGCCCGCAACGAGACGCAGCGCGAGGCCGCGCTGGCGGCGCGCGGGGGCCACCGTCACGGGGGCCACCGGAGCCACGACCGCGGGGTCGTGCGGAACTGCAAGGAGTTCTTGATGCTGGGGCGCGAGCGATCGCGAGGGAAGAGCGCGGCGGAGATCGTGTGACGGAATGGGTCGTTGAGCGAGCAAGCGAGTGAGCGGGCGGGCGAATCGATCGATGGCTTGGCCAGTAACCGCGCCTCCCAAACTAAGGTGCTCTTAAGAAACCTAGGTTTCAGTGCAGTTGCTCTAGACTCCTAAAGCAACTATCACGAGAGTGATGAAGTCACGGAAAACCACCAAGTTGAATACAGACACATGGACAAACACGAAGACGGACACACATACGAATCGGACACACGGACAAACACAGAGGCACACGTGAATAAGACAAAGACTCCCCAGCAAGTGCTGTTAGCAAGTAGCACCTATGATGGCCGGCACGGCATACGAGGGGGTGGGTGGACAGTACCACGCCCGGCCGCCTTTTTTTCTCCCCAATGGCGATGTTTACACATCGCACCAGGCACTCATTTGAGGCTGAGTCGACCTAGGGTGAGCGTGAATCGAATTCGGGTCGCCGGGTTAGTTGCGAATCAGGAGATGACAGATTCCCCCTTGCTTACATGAACCGGGATACACACTTAACTTTTTGACTTCATATTTTCTTTTTTAAATCAAAGTTGTTTCTTGCCATTTTGTAGAGATTCCACATTTTAGAGTAAGGTGCCAGTCAACCCCTGACTTCCCAAAGGTTGTGGCACTCATTTTATCGACCACGTAAGGGGTGATGGGCTAGCAAGAACTCTATTGGTTCCAAAAGAAAACACTATCGAGACCTGGCAGACACAACCATCGTGGAGATCCATGTGTTGATTGGTGTAATTGCAAGCATGCAGTTAGTGTTGTTCGACATATTGGCTCCATCTGGAGTGTTATTCAGTTGAACCTTTTAGATTCAATGTGCTCTCCTTCGCGGGAATAACGTGACGAACACTTTTACAAACGCAAGCACTGTCCGCAGCTGATTAGAAAACGCATCTGCCAGAAAAGTGCACACCGGACAGAGACAATAATGATTTCTTTTTTCAAAATCAGCTCAGGGTTCCCGTAAATCGCGTGGCTTCTGTGTGGCCACCCGCACTCTGAATCTCTCCCCTACCCCCAAATATTTGGGGGCTTTTTTAAAATTCCTGTGATGTAAGTTGTCTCGGGTGAAATACGTTGGCTCTGCTTTGACAGTCGTCAGTGGAGTGCAGCCACAAATGTGCCTCACGGAGAGATTCTGAGCGATCAGTTTGCCCACCGGGGGACAAACGGTTCCACGTTTAAGCGTGCTGTACACAAATAACACATTTCCTTTAATGGTTTATTATTATTTTCAAATTTACAAGCACACAGTGTGCGCACTTACGTCGTAAAGTTGCGCGTGTTTTCAATTGTCATTTTTTTTCAGAGTGATAGATGCAAAGACAAAGATCCCCCGGATAGCCTTGAACAGACTTTTAGGGCAAGTTACTGTTAGCAAGCGCCTCTGAATGCCGGCACGGCACACAAGGAGGAGTGGTGAGGCCAGAACCACGCCCGGTCGCCTTTGTCTCCCTCGTGGCGATGTTTTCACATCCCACCAGGTACTCATTTACTGCCGAGTCGACCTAGGGGAGGCCCAGGTACGGTGCAGATAATCGTCACTGGTGTCGGCTGTGAGCGGGAATTGAAGCAGGGTCGCTGGATTCGTAGCGCAGCGCTAGCTCAGCACGACACTACCGCTTCCCCTAGAATAACTCGATAGTGATATACCACACAGGGCAGGGGGAGCGTTGGTGCAGTAGTTCGCGCGCCGTTACATGAACCCGAGTGCAATTCCAGTTTGAGTTAAGAGCCCACGGCTGACGTCGGCGGCGAGTGTGTTGCCCAGAGCCAGTGTCATGTGCCCTTCCTTCGCCAACCGGCAATGATCATCGTGGTGAAGTATGGTCAAGCAACCCTCCGCCAATCCACCCCCACACCCCATTGCATATGCGGTATTGGGGGTAGGGAATGCCTTCATCCGACAGTTGACAAAGTTGTTCAAGTTATTATTTATTGTACGAGTATGTTTATGATATTTGCTGTGCGTCACGCACACTGTAGAATTATTATCTTGGTTCACTGTGATTTTTCCACGAATTATAATCATAAAAAATAAAGTCGTTGCTGTTTAATGGTGGTGTACTGTTACTTATTAGTGCTAGTTTTAACTGTGTTATTTAAGCACCTCTGTTGTTTCTAAGGCGTAACTTACAGCAAGGGTAAGGACAATAAACAATGTTCGGGTTCTCACAATTTTTTGTTAGCTCCTTTGTTATTCCACTGCTGGATGGGGCCTTCACATGGATGAGGATCTTGGAGGGGAGGAGAGTGAGCTGTGAGGTAGGAGAGAGTGATGACTGTGAGATATGATTTCTCGCTCATGGGTGCCCAATTTAAAATGTGCAAGTCAACATTCGATCCATGCAGCCTCAGCAGCAGCAGCATTCAGGTAGCAGACACAACGTTTGGTAGGTAGCCTTGCATGAGGATAATCCGAGCGAAAATATGCACGTTACCTTACTGTTTGGTTCTTTCGGTAAAGTCACGTAGGTAGAAAAATAATAGATCACGGCGTTTCGATCGCATCAGGCGGGACAACCACAGCAAGAAAAAACTGCTGAAGTAGGCGGTGGTTGTCCCACCTGATGACCATTGCTTGTGTTGCGATCGAAACGTCGTGATCTTTTCTTTTTCTGCCTACGTGACTTTACCGAAAGAACCAAAGAGTATGGATTCCTGCAGTCACGAAAGCTTCAAATCAAGATTGCACTTGACCTTGTTTCGCAAGCGCGTGTGCAGTTGAACACGGGACCACATCGAAGATAGTTCAATAAGACGGTGGTAACGACGGCGCGGGCGGTGGGGGGGGAGATAAGAGATTGGAGGAAACCCAAAGGAGGTAAATTTGGTGGGAAACAAGGAGATGCTGAGAGGAGCTTGTGGAAGGTTACAGAAGGTCGGGGGTGAGGGGGGTAAATACGGAGCGTGGGCCTTGAACTCAGCACTCCGAGAGAAGAGAAGGCTGGTTGAAAAAAGAGGTCACAACGCGTGTGTTACTGAGTCCCCTAGGTCGGCTCAGCCTCAAATGAGTACCTGGTGCGGTGTGTCAACATCGCCACTCGGGAGACAAAGGCGGCCGGGCGTGGTGCTGGCCACCCACCCCCGCGTGTGTCGTGTAGGCCTTCATAGGCGCTCGCTAACAGCACTTGCCCCCACAGTCTGTTGAGGCTATAACGGGGGATCTTTGTCTTGTCTTTGTTACTGCAGTTTTCTTCGCACGACTCCCACACGTATGCCAAGTCCATCATTGCTCCTGTAAACAGGTGGCAAGTGCGAAGTCCGCGTGCCTCACACCACCGTTGGGATTATAAATGCCAAAATAATTACGCTTTCATTGCTATTGTTTCAACAGTAACACGCCACTTTTGCGCCTGGAATTCATGGTAATTGATATGCCCCCCACCAACGACCCCCCCCCCCCCCCGCTGTTGCTGATAACTCGGACTCACAGAGATGATGGGCACGATATGCATTCTGACCACACATGACCGGAGGAGCAATGCAATGCAGACACAGATGACCAATGCAATGTAGGATAATTGAAAAACACCTAATTTACAAACATAATTGCATTGCATATTCAAATGAGGAGGGTCCTTCGGTTTTTCCCTCCACATTTAGAGGACTTGGCTGCTCTAAATGTCCACGTGACGATAAGCCAGGTCGCTTCTGGGGAAAAAAAATTAACTATATAGCTCAGTGGACCTTACCTGGTAGCATAAAATAGTTTTAGTTTAATCGTTTTTTTTAATCAAGATTGGCAACTTTTGGACCATCAAACCCATAGACTCACACGTGGGCCACTATGTATTGTTTTTCGAATGATGCCACGGAACATTCTGACGTTCACTGTGAAGCAGACAGCGCTTCTCATCACGTGGACATGTTTTGCAGCCAAATACTCCAAACGCGCGTTCCTCAATGAAAAAAATAACCTGCAAATATACTCGGTTGAGAAAACACCTCGCAACACCGCTCATCCTACTGTACCTGTCTGTAAAACACAGCTCATTCTTTCGTGATAGCCTCGTGCTATGAATGGCGTGAGAACGAAATGTACCGAATAATTTTGATTTGGTCTATTTTGAGGTGTGCTCTCTCTCTCTCTCCACGTCTCACGCAGACACATGAAGGGATCTGTGTGTGTGTGTCTGTGTGTGTGTCTGTGTGTGTGTCGGTGCTCGCTAACAGCACTTGCCCCAACACCCTGGTGAGGCTATATGGGGTATGTTTGTTTTTGTCGTTGTGTATCCGTGTATGTGCGTGTGGGGAGCGGTGGCGTAGCGGTTAGCGCTCTGCGCTACGAACCTGGCGAGCCGAGTTTGATTCCCACTCACGACCAACAACACCCAGTGACGATTATCTGCACCGGTCCTGGGCCTCTCTCAGGTCGACTCAGCCTGAAACAAGTACCTGGTGCGATGTGTAAACATCGCCACTGGGGAGACAAAGGCGGCCGGCCGTGGTGTCATTCTGCCCCCCCCCCGCACTCATGTGCCCTGTCGGCCTTCATCGGTGCTCGTTAACAGTTACTTGCCCCGAAAGTCTGGTGGGGCCACACGGGTGAGCTTTGTCGTGTGCGCGTGTCGCGTCTCAATGATCTCTCTCCCTCCGACTCCCTCTCTCTCTCACACACACACATACACATCGAGGCGAAGGCCCCCCCCCCCCCCCAATATTCAAATATGCTGAAAATGCCCCCCCCCCCCAATATATTGCTATAAAAAATAATTGCTATGCGATGTAAATAAAAACAATTTGCTAAACCTTGGCCACAATATCTGGACTTGTCTTCATTAAAATCAATGCATAGATTTCTGTTCATATGACCACTCACCATGTCACGTGGCGCTGCTGCCTCCAACGTGCGTCGCTTGCTCCTGATCCAAGGCAGCTGAGCCAGCTTGCAGGCGCGATCCACAAACATTGCCATTACATAGAATGAAACAAGAAATGCTTAAAAAAGTAAAAACAGAGCAATGTAATACAATAGACTATTAGACATTATTGTAAAAAAAAAAAGTCCATCCCATGTGTTAGTGAATTTTTTAAGTATTTTAGGCAGGAAATTAGTATTACAATTTCCATATTTTTCTGGGTTGGGACCCCCAGACACGCTAGAAGATTTGGTCCCCCCCCCCAATGTTGACTCCATGGCTACGGCCTTGCTCGAGGCTGCTGCTGCTGTTTGCCCCAGGTTCCAGCGCGCTCCGCGATCATTTGCCCCATAAACGCACTCGGAGAGCGATTACGGCGCCCGGCCAATCGAGCCCACCCACCGCAGACATTACAAAATGATGAAAACCATCACGCACCGGAGCAAAGGTCCATTGCGACGTGAATCGATATACATATGCAGGCGAGATGCACCCTGTCGTCCAATTATTACACCGCTGAGTGGTAGTGGTGGGTTCGTTTGTCGCGGTGGTGGTGGTGGTGCACGTGTGTGCTCCACGCAGCTCTTCTTCACAAGCAGGGTGGGTGGATCATGAAGGGACCAGCATCATCATGGACCTGAGACTGTGATTCCGCTGGGCGACTGATCATTTTGTTATTATTTAGAGGTGCCTATGAATGTCGTTGGAGTGGGAAAATCAAGAAGACACAATCAATAGACATACACGCAGAGAGGAACACAATACGTATGCACAGAAACACGATACACACGCAGACATGTGTGTGCAGAAATACAAACATACACGAAGACAAAGATCCCCCGCATAGCCTTAAAAGACTGTTGGGGCCAGTGCTGTAAGTCAGCACACATATCAAACAAAGACATACATACACGACGGTCATGTATACATACAATGCACACACATAGGCACATACATTCAGACATACACACGGAGAGAATCGCATAAACACAAATACACGTGCACAAAAACACACTTACTTGCAAACTCCGAGACACACACGTACATATAGACACAAACGCATTGCCCACAAAGAACCACGCACGCACATACACAGACCCCACGTGTAGCCTCAACATAATTTGTAGCAAGTGCTGTTAGCGAGCACCTATGAAGGCGTCCACGAAGACACACACACACACGTACAACCACACACGCACCAACAGCCTGTAGGTGAGGTTGACATCACCACAGCGCTTGTGCCAGGCTAGGTGCACACACACACGCGCTTTCAATGTTTGTGGATCGCGCCTGCAAGCTGGCTCAGCTGCCTTGGATCAGGAGCAAGCGACGCACGTTGGAGGCAGCAGCGCCACGTGACATGGTGAGTGGTCACTCGTGAACTGTGCTGGAGATCACGCCTAAAGGTCACCAGGGGTCACCAGTGGCCCGCGGGCCTTATAATGAAGAACACAGGTCTATGGGTCTCGATGTCAGTCTATGAGTCTGAGGGGGGATCTATAGCTCTCAAGGCGAGTCCATGGATCTCGATGTGAGTCTGTGGGTCTCTGTGTGAGTCAGTGGGTCTCAGGGTGAGCCTATGGGTCTCTGTGTGAGTCTATAGGTCTCAGAATAAGTCTATGGGTTTCATGGTGAATTTACGGGTCTCTATGTGAGCATATTGTTCTTCTGAGCAAATGGGGTTCTCTGTGAGTCTATAGGTCTCAGAATAAGTCTATGGGTTTCAGGTCGAGTTTACGGGTCTCTATGTGAGTCTATGAGTCTGAGGGCGGATCTATAGCTCTCAAGGTCTCTATGTGAGTCTGTGGGTCTCAGTGTGAGCCTATGGGTCTCTATGTGAGTCTATAGGTCTCAGGGTGAGTCTATGGGTTTGAGGGTGAGTCTTTGGGTTTCAGGTCGAGTTTGCGGGTCTTAGGGTAAGTCTATGGGTTTCAGGTCAAGTTTACGGGTCTCTATGTGAGTATATTGTTCTTCTGAGCAAATGGATTCCTTTGTGAGTCTATAAGTCTCAGGGTAAGTCTATGGGTCTCAGGGTAAGTCTATGGGTTTCAGGGTGAGTCTATGGGTGTCTATGTGAGTCTATGAGTCTGAGGGCGGATCTCTCGCTCTCAAGGTCTCTATGTGAGTCCGTGGGTCTCTATGTGAGTCTGTGGGTCTCAGTGTGAATCTATAGATGTCTTCTTCTTAGTATGGCTGATGTTGACGAAGAGCAACGACTGTAATTGTACATTGTGGTGGTGCCAGATGATCGCGTCTGGAGTAGCGGATTGGTGCATCGCTGCTGTCATGGCGATTCGTCCTCCTTCATGTGTGTGC